TTCGGGGTTATAGTACCCCCTGATAAGTACTAAAGTACTAACAGGGCTTGATAGGGATGATCGTAACCCCCCATGAGAATCCCTATCAACGACTGTTAGTTTCAGGAGACATCCCAAGGTTGATGTGAGACCCCCTTAATCTTCGGGGTTTAGGGGGTTTAGGGGTTAGGGTTTAGGGTTTAGGGTTTAGGGTTTAGGGTTTAGGGGCAAGGTTTGCAGGGTGCGCAGTTTCGGGTGTTGAGACTGTTGGGGGTGTCAGGGGTGCGGGTTTAGGGGTTGCAGGTTTTGGGTTTAGGGTTTGGGGTTTGGGGTATAGGGTTAGGGCGCGTAGCTTCTACAAGAATTCCTAGGGTTTCGGGAATTGGCAGACCACATGATGGGTGCCCACCCCGCAGAACGCAGTCTAGGGGCCTCCAAAGGTTTGTTTTTGTGCTTAGAGCACAGGGGTCAGCGTTAAGATTTAGGGTTTATGGTTTAGAGTCCTAAACCCCAACCCTAAACCCTAAACCCTAAACCCTAGGCCCTTTGCACTTTTAGGGTTCAGGGAGGAGCCACAGACCTGGAAACCTGAACTCGCGCAGAGCCTGGCCCGTAAAACCCTAAGCCCCGAACCCTAAACATGGAACACCAACCAACGTGGGGCTTTCGGGTTTAGGGTTTAGGAAACCCTGAACCCTAAACCCTAAGCCATAGGCCAAGAGTAAGAGAGATTTGGCTCTTGAGGGTTTAGGGTTGAGGGTTGAAGCTTCAAGCCTTGTCACCCTCCGAAGGCCTGGTTTTGGTTCTCCGGCTTTAGGGTTTAGGGTTTCGGGTTTAGGGTTTAGGACTTAAGGTTTAGGGTGTAGGGTTTCGGGCCCCCGTGGCCGTAGGGCTTACGTGTCAAGGACGGTGAAGATCGACAGCATCAACCAGCAGCAGCGCTTCCAGATTGAGGTTAGCCTCCGTGGCTGGGCTGCAAACCCCTGAACCCTATCCCCTAAACCCTAAACTCTAAACCCTAAACCCTAAACCCGAAACCCAAACCCTAAACCCCAAACCTGAAACCCTAAACCCCAAGCTTTTGCGGACTTCGTCCCACCGCCGTCTTGGCGCCTCGGCTGTGCTCGGAGACGTTCCGTGGCATGATTGCGTTCACACATTTCAGTTGCTGTCGCTTGGAAACGCTGCCCACCCGACATGGCGGGACTGGTTGCTGCCGCTCATGCAGAGTATGCACGGCGCCTACTTTCACCAAGGTGCTGCTACTTGGCAAGGTCGGCAAAGGTACTGGGCCTCCAGGACATGTTCTCAGGTGTGCGTGCGTGACGACGTGCGCGCGTGGCACTCGGCAGGATTTCCGAAGAGCTGATGCGCAAGGGTTTAGGATTTGGGGCTTAGGGATCTTGCCCAAGGTTCGAAACAGCCAAAACCGGGCTTAGGGTTTCAGGGTTTCAGGGTTTCAGGGTTTCAGGGTTTCAGGGTTTCAGGGTTTCAGGGTTTCAGGGTTTCGAGTTTAGGGTTTAGGATTTAGGGTTTATAGGGTTTAGGGTTTAGGGTTTAGGGTTAGGGTTTAGGGTTTAGGGTTTAGGGTTTAGGGTTTAGGGTTTAGGGTTTAGGGTTTAGGGTTTAGGGGTAGCTTGAGGGATGCTACGGCCCAACATCCCCAAACCTCAGCCGCCATGCCCTCAAAACCCTTAAGTCCAAGCCAACTGGTTGACCTTGTTCTATGGGTTTTTACGTTTGCGTTTTGGGTTGCGGTTCCCTCTGCGAGACCTCGAACCCTGGGGTTTGGGGTTTAGGGTTTAGGGTTTAGGGTTTAGGGTCTAGGCCAGGTTCATTCTGTCGCCAAGGCACCCTGCCTGTGAGCCTGAACACCGGAGCCAAGGCGGCAGCAGCGCTGAAGGACCCTCAAAGCCCGTGTGGGGAGCGAGGGGAGGAGGGGGGGGGAAGTTCGGGGTTCATGCCTCTCTGATCGTTCATGCCTCTCTGATCCCGACCACCGAATAAATCACTGAACTCGTACTTTCAGGCGCATCGGGCGGCGAAAAGTAGCCTTGGTTGGGTTCTACCTGCTTGCCCTACTATACCTACCCATGAACTTTGACAACTCATTGAGCCCAAAAGCCCAAACCCTGAAACTACCCTCCCCCCTTGGCAGGAACTAGACCGATCTGCGATCACAGCAGAGGCGGAACCGATCATTAAGGGTTCAGGTTTTCAAGATTTCTGGCTTACGCTAGCCTACTATTTGGCGGCTTGGGGTTCAGGGCTCAAGGGTCGAGGGTTGAGTGTGCGCGCGTGTGTTACAGTTGTGCCTACTATTTGGCGGCTTGGGGTGCAGGGGGTCGAGGGTTGAGTGTGCGCGCGTGTGTTACAGTTGTGCCTACTATTTGGCGGCTTGGGTTCAGGGCTCAAGGGTCGAGGGTTGAGTGTGGGTGTGCTTGTGCGTGTGCGTGTTGATGTGCGTGTTGGCGTGCCTGTTGGCGTGCCCGTTGGCGTGCCTGTTGCTGTGTTGCTGTGTTGCAGTGTTGCTGTGTTGTGTTGTGGGTGTGTGTTGTGGGTGTGCGTTGTGGTTGCGTGTTTGTTGGTGTGTGTTGTGGGTGTGTGTGTGTGTGTGTTGTGTGTGTGTTGTGTGTGTGTTGTGTGTGTGTGTTGTGTGTGTGTGTGTTGTGTGTGTGTGTGTGTTGTGTGTGTGTGTGTTGCGTGTGTGTGTGTTGTGTGTTGTGTGTGTGTGTGTGTGTGTTACAGTTGTGCCTACTATTTGGCGGCTTGGGGTGCAGGGGGTCGAGGGTTGAGTGTGCGCGCGTGTGTTACAGTTGTGCCTACTATTTGGCGGCTTGGGTTCAGGGCTCAAGGGTCGAGGGTTGAGTGTGGGTGTGCTTGTGCGTGTGCGTGTTGATGTGCGTGTTGGCGTGCCTGTTGGCGTGCCCGTTGGCGTGCCTGTTGCTGTGTTGCAGTGTTGCTGTGTTGTGTTGTGGGTGTGTGTTGTGGGTGTGCGTTGTGGTTGCGTGTTTGTTGGTGTGTGTTGTGGGTGTGTGTGTGTGTGTGTTGTGTGTGTTGTGTGTGTGTTGTGTGTGTGTTGTGTGTGTGTTGTGTGTGTGTTGTGTGTGTGTTGTGTGTGTGTTGTGTGTGTGTTGTGTGTGTGTTGTGTGTGTGTTGTGTGTGTGTTGTGTGTGTGTTGTGTGTGTGTTGTGTGTGTGTTGTGTGTGTGTGTGTGTGTTGTGTGTGTGTGCGTGTGTGTTGTGTGTTGTGTGTTGTGTGTGTGTGTGTTGTGTGTGTGTGTCCTTATAAGAGACCTAACTTAGGGGTAATTGCACGGGCTACTTAGGCACACAAGGACCAACAGAAGGTATGTAAATGGGCTATCTATAAGGGTTCCCTTCTAGGGTCCGTCCTTGTATCATGTAAATATACGTAGAGTTTAGGGTTTAGGGTTTTAGAGTTTTAGGGTTTTAGGGTTCAGGGTACCCTGCACACCCCGTAGAGTGCCCTATGGCCTAGCTCCTATGCCTTAAACTCTACAAAACCCATGCCCTGTGCCGTTATCCCCCCAAAACCCAAACACCGAAATCCTGTACCCCCGATAAAGGAGCCAGCAAACGTCGCAAGGCGCTTCAAACTCTGCGGCGCTTCCTTTGCCCTAGCTCAGAGCAGGCCCTGGGGGGGGGGGGGGGGCCTGGTAGGAGGTTTGGGGGGGGGGTCGAACAGGGCTAGGGTTGAGGGTCTTCTCCAGGGTTTGGGGTTTCGGGTTCTGGAGATGAGGAGTTTAGGGTTTAGGGTCCGTACCCCTACGAACCTGCTCCTGGGCCCTCAACCCCAAGGCCCTGGAAGGCCCCATATCATAAGCATTCAGAAGCAATCCTTTACACCGGAAACAAGCTCTTCAACAAAAAGACAGACCCTGCAACTCTGAACCCGAACACTAGCACCGGCAAGAAAGTCCCTGCAACGATGATCATGAGAATGATAGAATTATTTGGTGGTCATTGATTCAGAAGAGCCTGCAAGTGAGTCTTAACATCAGAGTAACAAGCACAAATCACGCTAACAGTAACAACAATAGTCATACACAACAATGCCAATTACATTGCCATTTCATTCCAGAAACGATGCCAATTCTCTGAATCACCTATCACTAAAGAGAACGAGGATGAAGCTTAACGATCATAGTGGCAATCTGAATCGTAACGATGGTAGTTCTCACAATAATCGCCAAGCTGCGCATTATAGCATACTATATTGCACGATATCATGCTGTATCCATAATCGGTTAAGCTACGTCATTTCATATCTTGATGATACTTATCTGCTATCGACATAATCTAACTCTAGGACCTAGAGTAAGCCCTCATTCCACATGTTGGGGGTTTAGCCTCCCTCTTAATCTCCTGCAAACCAAAAAGTGCACCCTTGTTGTTCCTGGGTTTCTTTTGGGTCTAGATATATGCCTGAGGGTAGTTTCATAGGCCTTGACATGCTCCCGTGCCTTCTTTACGGGGTTCTGAAGTGTGGGCCCTTGGGTCGTATAGGGTGTATAACCCTAAACCCTAAACCCTAGACCCGAAACCCGAAACCCTAAACCCTAAACCCTAAACCCTAAGAGTATAACGATCACGGCTGTCGAAGCACGAGGAGATGGAGCTGGCGAGCAAGCGCCAGGTAGTGGAAGCCGAGCGGCAAGAGTCGGGGTCCCGGATCCGGTTCTCGCACTTTCTGCTCTGATAGGGTTTAGGGTTTAGGGTTTAGGGTTTAGGGTTTAGGGTTTAGGGTTTAGGGTTTAGGGTTTAGGGTTTAGGGTTTAGGGTTTAGGGTTTAGGGTTTAGGATCTAGGGTCTAGGGTTAAGACGTTTTCTCAGGTCGAACCCAAATGTGCAAACCCCAATCCGAACCCTCAACCCTGAACGTTCGATGTCATGTTCGAAGACATCGACAGAACGTAGGTGCATTTAGGGTTTATTGTAGGGGTTTCGGGTTAAGAATCGAGCTCTCGTGTAGCCGTGTTTGCTCTCAACCATTCCAACATGGCTTTCATGCAAAGGCGCCTTCCACCCTTGCAGAGGGTGTTCCTCAACTTCGATGGCAAGCCTCCCGCCTCGGAGAGCATTCTCCGTCGCTCCCGCAGCTTCGCCGGCTACGTGCCCGTTGAGCTCAGCGAGGTTCATGTCGAGCTTCATGTCGAGCTTGGCGCGAAGCCCTTCGTCGAACCAGTCGAACCCGTCTCCCAAGCTTCCGACGCAGTGCTTGAGGACCTGCACGGGCAAGAAGCTTAGCTGCTAAGTTGGGAACCTTGATCCTTTTCTTGAGTGCAAATAGAGTATTATGCAAGTATTATTCAAGTATTCATTACATGATCGGAGAACGGTGGACGCGTGGATAGTCAGGAAAGCACAGCAGAAGACCCCGCCACTTTTCCGGACACCGACGATGAGGAAACAGTGGCTTGGGTCGAGGCGCAATCCGGCATCTTCGCTCCGATGGTCGACGATGCCGCGAGCCTCTCGTCTCGATTTCTATGAATTCTATTCTGTACTTGTTTGTTAGGAAACCCACCGGGAAGATTTCAAAATGCAGTCCCATTTCCTAACCCCAAAAGCCCTTATGGTTCCATTAAGCGGAGTAGCTAGGGAGTTGCAGTAGGCAACGGCAGCCCGTGGCTCGCGCCACTGGCTCCATCGGCGACCACAGCGGAGGACTCTGGGATGCCAGGGGTCAGACTCGGTCAGACCTAAGGGTCCTTGATGCCTAAGCCCTGAACCCTAGACTAGACCCAAAAGCCGAAATGCCGAAACCTTATAAGCCCTAAACCCTAAGCCCTATAGGCCCTGAACACAGTCCCCAAGTCAGAGCACCCAAGCCACCACGGGTCGTGATCCAGGAACATTGCGGCTACATGCCGCAGCGCGACATGGGGGAGCACTTGAGCCGCTCCGGCTTTCCAAACCCGGGCTATGTCAACGTGAATGTCGTCAACCCCGGCCCTGCGCAAACATCTCAGAATGCATGGTTCAATCGCAGGCTCAACGCTCCGGCTGGGGGCACGCAGCAAGTGGACATCGTACTCTCGCCTGCGCAGGGCTTGCACATGAACATGCAGAAGTGGTGCGGAGGCCACATGCACGCAGACGAGAAGTCGATGGTGTCTCCCCAGGTGGTCTCTGCCTTGATGGCAAAGGAGCAAAGAGAGTCCACGACAGGCCAGAAAGCGCTGCCAAGCACAGGGGACCAAGTGACGAAAGCCCTGTGTGCTGGCACTATTGCCTTGAAGAAGGCAAGGGCCATGATGCCGGCTGTCAATCTTCAGCCGACGGTTCCCAACGCCCGCCCTCGAACAGCCACGGTGCCGGATGTGAATCCTCAGCCGACGGTTCCGAACGTCCGCCCTCGACGCGGGCGGCGAATCCCACGGTCCTCGACGCGGCCTGAGAACTGATCACAAGCTCGAAGCCCCGTAGTCCTGTCATGTATCCAACCATCCATCTGCGGAGGTGGCATTCCCAATTCCTTGCCGCCCGGAATGGACATGATGGGTGCTGATATCTGGGTCTGCCTAGGCTGATGTTCATAGCTAACCCTAAACCCTAAACCCTAAATCCTAAACCCTAAACCCTACACCCTAAACCCTAAACCCTAAACCGAAGACCAGAACTACCAGACTACCGTAGTCAGCAGCTGCCCGGCTGAATTCAACATGCCCGCCCGCAGGGGACATGTTGTTGCATGCATCAGTGCAAAGTGCAAAGACCTTTCAGATCACATGGGGTGTTAACGATATTGTGGCCTATTATGAGGATATCTGGGGGTCTTATTCGGGGTCCCTTGCTATCGTAAGCCCCCACAGGGTGCGACAACAAGTGATCTCAAAAAGGCTTAGGGTTTAGGGTTTAGGGTTGAGGGTTGAGGGTTTAGGGTTTAGGGTTTAGGGTTCAGGGTGCATATGAAACTTCAATGGAGGTGGCACTTCGCACTCCATGGCACATAGTGCAGCGCATGCCCACGAGGCTGCACGGCGCCGTTTGATGAAAGAGCTTTGACAATGTGACCAGGTCGTCAAGAACAGGAATTTGGCACTCTAAATCCTTTCAGCCCTAAGCCCTAAACCCTAAACCCTAAACCCTAAACCCAAAACCCTGGATTTAGGGTTTAGGGCTTCGGCCGGTGTTCACTGCTGGTTCGGGTTTACGCTTTGGTGCCGAGTTTTTGGCGGCGCGAGTCATGCCTACCGGCCCCCAAAAATGGCTACCCATCTGGCCATGGCCAAAGAGCAAGGTCGACCCACTTTCACACGCTCCAGGTCCTATCCGATCTTTCATGGGGTTTCGGGTTTAGGGTTTAGGGTTTAGGGTTTAGGGTTTAGCATCCAAACTGCACAGTCTGCAAAAACCCTGAGTCGTAAACCCTACACTCGATACCCCCTGCCCTTCCGTCGGAGGAGTCCTTGGACTAGGCTGCCCAGTGCTAGCGTCATTCCTTTTTTGTAGGGTTAGATGCCCTATAAACCCGTTTAAGCAACAGCAAGGCATCCGTTTGCGTCTTCGTCACTGGGCAACCTAGTGGATGATCCGGCACAGGGAGGGGCACATGCCTTCCAACCACCGTCCTGGAGTCATGGCGTATCCTGGGGTTGATTTCGAAAGAATGTTGAGTTCTATGAGCCCATGTAGAATGCAAGGCAGGCCCTTGGGACATTGTAGATGTTGCCTTATTGGGCTTAACCAGCATGGGCTATTGGGCCTTATAATCATCTAGCCAACCCGTTTCAGGGCCTTTGTTAAGGGGTTATAGGTTATAGTAGCGCATGAAGGAAGAGGCTCATCTTAAGGAATGTGTTCCCAGAGGGTGTTAAGGGCCCTCCTAGAACCTGTTCTGAGGGTTCCATGGTGGTTCCCGAAGTAGGGGTACCTTATTGGGGCCTCATTGTAAGGCAATCCTACTACTTGGGGGGGGGGGGGGTTTTAGGGGTCCGCTATTTTCAGCCCTAAACCCTAAACCCTAAACCCTCAACCCTCAACCCTCAACCCTCAACCCTCAACCCTCAACCCTCAACCCTCAACCCTCAACCCTCAACCCTCAAACCTCAACCCTCAACCCTCAACCCTCAACCCTCAACCCTCAACCCTCAACCCTCAACCCTCAACCCTCAACCCTAAACCCTAAACCCTAAACCCTAAACCCTAAACCCTAAACCCTAAACCCTAAACCCTAAACCCTAAACCCTAAACCCTAAACCCTAAACCCTAAACCCTGCCCAGATCCACCCCAGCATCTGCGCAATCGCCTGCGAGAGCGTTGGCAGCTTCATCTGCCGGCTCGCCCGTGAACATTACAGCTGAGTCGGTGAGGAGCAGAAACGCTCGGCAGGGCCCCAGTTTAGGGTTTAGGGTTTAGGGTTTAGGGTTCAGGGTTCAGGGTTTAGGGTTTAGGGTTTAGGGTTTAGGGTTTAGGGTTTAGGGTTTAGGGAGGTATGTCCTGGAAGGTGCCAAGTACTGCTCTTCTTGCCTGACTATTCGAAGTTGCGGCATCTTCTCAAGCGAAGGTCCGAGATTGTACTCTTATTTCGTGAGCTTTTGCGGCAAATCTGATGCAAATGGCCACCAAGAACCTCGTCTGCGCGTTTGTTGTTATTCCCCCCCCGCCCCCAAATTAATCAATCAATTAATCAGACTTTACTAAGGGCCATGTTCGGGGTCTCGAAAACCTCGCCGCGCCATACCCCCCCCAGACCCCCCCAGACCCCCCCGGGGGGGCCCCCCTTTTTAGGATGTAGGGTTTAGGGTATTTTAACCCCTTTTAAGCAAGAAGGGCACGCACCCCCTTTGTTCCCGGGGCTACTCCGGGGCCACCCCTAAACTCCGACGGGTTCAGGGTTTAGTGTTCGGTCCTGGAAACAAGTGCTCCCAGTGGCTCCTTTCCAGGTTTAGGGTTTAAGGTTTAGGGTTTAGTTTAGGGTTTAGGGTTTAGAGCTGTGGCAAGGAATCCCGCCATAAACTGTGCCCCTAAACCCTCAACCCAATCTCCACATGTGAAGAACCAGGTAGCTTGAAGGCTGATGCTGGGGTTTCTTGATGACCAGAGAAAGCTAGCACACGGTCTACGTTTATAAGCCCGAAGCCCTAAACTCTCCGCTCGTCACCCTTTTATCATGCAACTACGCAAAAAATTCCCGCCCCAAAATGTTCACCTGAGCCCTGCAAACACCAGGCCAGGCCAAAACTTCGACATTAAGGTGACATACCTCCATTCAGACCAAGGATCCCGGATCCCTATGCAATCTGAGATAAACAAATCCCCATCATTTAGGGGTATTTGGCTCCGTGTGTGAGCCCTAAACCCGAAACCCTAAACCCTAAACCCTAAACCCTAAACCCTAAACCCTAAACCCTAAACCCGAAACCCGAAACCCTAAACCCTAAACCCTAAACCCCAAACACTAAACCCTAAAACCGAACTACGGTGGGCACCGTATAAACTTTAAACCCTGCGCTTCTGTCGGGTGTCTCCCAGGTCGGACGAGCCGTTCGTGTGGGACCCCGTGGAGCAGTTCATGGAGGATTTAGGGTTCAGGGGTTAGGGTTTAGGGTTGTTCGGGGCTTCGGGTGTCGGGTTTAAAGCCAAGGTGCGTGAGTCGAGGCCGCTTTCATCTTGGCTACAGCGGAGTTGCAACTTTCGTATTTCGTGCCTCGCGAGGCCCTGAAACCTAAACCCTAAAACCTAAACCCTAAACCCAAAACCCAAAACCCTAAACCCTAAACCCTAAACCCTAAACCCCAGACCCTTATCAGGTCAAGAGGACTTTCGATTCGGCAGGTCAAGAGGACACACCCCCTCACAAAGTTGCCCTCCGACATCCATCACTCTCAGCCGAAACCTTGCAAACTCTACAAACCCTAAACCCTAAACCCTAAGTCCTAAGTCCTAAATCCTTCAAACCCTATACACCCTATACACCCTATAAACCCTACAAACCCCACAACCCCAAAAACAACCAAGCCGCTCCGCAACCCAAGTCCCCGAAGTTTTCGAGGCCGTGTTTCAGGTCTAGGGTTATAGGGTCAGGGCTTAGGGTTCAGGGTTGAGGGTTGAGGGTTCAGGGTTCAGGGTTTAGGGTCGATTGTTCATGGGTGGTTGCATGTATGGTACTTTTTGCATGCCAGCCCTTCAAGATATAGGCCTTATATCAGAGCCCTCTGTTAGCCATCTCAGTGTGCGAGCCTAAACCCTCCAAATCCTAAACCCTAAACCCTAAACCCTAAACCCTAAACCCTAAACCCTGAACCCTAAACCCTAAACCCTAAACCCTGAACCCTGAACCCTAAACCCCAAACCCTAAACCCTGAACCCCCGCCAGGACCTCTCGCAGGTCCGCAGCTGCGCCATGCGCCTCAGCTGCTGGGGCTTCCTGCGCCTGGGCTTCATTATTTCAGGGTTTAGGGTTTAGGGTTTAGGGCTTAGGGCTTAGGGCTTAGGGTTTAGGGTTGGGTTCAGAGTTTAGGGTTTAGGGCTTAGGGTTTAGGGTGTTTAGGGTTTAGGATCAGACTTCATGAGTTGGGGGTTGACTTGTTTTGGTACTCGGTAGGCCCTTGAGACATGTTGTATCTTCCCTTATTTGGGTTAAGAGGATCCTTTTCAGGAATGTTTTTCAGAGGGATCTAAGGGCCGTCCTAGGTTAGAGTTTTTAAAGTGGGGGCTTAGGGCTTTGGGTTTATAAGGGTTCTTGTTTGATTTAGGGTTAGGGTTGGGGGGGGGGGGGGGGGGGTTGGGCCAGGGTCTTTTTTTTCGAGTTTTTTAATACCTTGTAGCCATTGCCTCTGAGGCGGTGCTGATTTAGACTCCCCCCCCCCCCAAGTGAGGGCTTCGGGTAGACCCACTGGACCTTAAACTTTACACCCCAAAGTCAAGGGATGAAGCCCTAAACCCTAAACCCTAAACCCCTAAACCCCATAACCCCTACGTTGTACCCCTAAAGGTTCCTCTTGAAATACTCCTAATATGGCCCCTTCATTCCTTTAGGGACCCTTCAAAAGGGACCCGAAAACCCACATACAGAAGCCCGAAACTGAGGCAAGTCGGACCTATGGGTAGGTCTACCCTAGGCCTACGGGTAGCCTGTGTACAGGCCTACGTAGGGGCTACGCGAGGCTACTTATAGGCCTATCCGTAGGCCTGCGGGTAGGCTGCCGGTAGGCCTACCCGTAGGCCTACGGGTAGGCTACAGGCAGGCCTACCCGTAGGCCTACGGGTGGGCTACCGGTAGGCCTGCCCGTAGGCCTACGGGTAGGCTACAGGCAGGCCTACCCGTAGGCCTATGGTTGGGCTACCGGTAGAGGCCTACGGACAGGCTGCAGGCAGGCCTACCCATAGGGATATAGGTAGGCTACCGGCAGGCCTACCCGCAGGCCTACGGGTAGGCTACCGGCAGGCCTACCGCAGGGC